TTATTGTGATCTATTTTCTTCAGATGTTTCTGTATTTCTTCCTTTTTATTTTAGATGTGACGTCATTTTTTCTCAAATTAGAGAGATGTCGAACATTTCTATTTTTTCAATAAATTTAAATTTAAAAAATAATAAAAAAAATTGTTTCTTTTTCTCAGATTAGAGATATGTGAATATACAAATGTTTCCAACAAATTTAAAATGTAGCCAAATTTAATATAAAATATATCCGTATATAATATATTATTTCCAAATTACATAATTTTATTATATTATATATTACGATTTAAAAGGCATTTTTTAGAGACACCCGGACTCATGTGAAAAACATTGATTGAGAGTATACAAATTTTTGGTCAACCAAAGTTATTGAAATTGGGAATCTAGACTAAAATGTGGCGTGGCTGACTTTGATATATTTATGTCTATGTAGTTACGTCCGATAGCAGAAAAGAGCGAAGGTTTCACTAAGCATGTTTAGCTTATAACATCATTTTCTAGACACAAAATCTTCATTCAGATTTAAATTATAATATGCATGCCGTAAACGAGCCGGACGAGATAAAAAAGAAAGTGGAAGAATGCCATGGCGCAGTGGAAGTCACCTATCCGATTGAGGTAAAGTACTGCGGAAATTGCTCCATGCCCATCGAGTACTGTGAATACTACGCAGAGTACGACAAATGCAAGGAATGGCTAGCCAAGAACTATCCGGAAGACTATGAAAAGCTTATGCTAAGAGAAGTTGAAGAGGCTGCTGGCGCATCTGCTGGTGGCATGGATTCCGATAGGAAGCGCCAGAAGCGGGGCGGGAAGGGCATGCTACGTGCAAAGAAGGACAACGAGGACGACAATGAACTGAAGTGTGTTCGACTCTCCTGCACCACGCGCGGCAAGAACAAGCGAGTCACCCTTGTCGCTGGACTGGCTGCATTCAAGATCGATTTGCGAGCTGCAGCCAAATTCTTTGGTACCAAATTCGCGTGCGGCTCATCAGTGAGCGGCGACAAGGAGATTGTCATCCAGGGCGATGTGAAGGATGATCTGCTTGAGGTCATACCCGACAAGTGGCCAGAAGTGCCAAGGGATGCCATCGACGACTGTGGCGAGAGCAAGAAACGAGGGCAATCATAAAATGAAAATCAAAACGAAATTTCTCTTTGAACTCGGGTAAATAAAGATAGCAGCTTCATACAGGATTTAATTTGTTATAACTCAGTTTACAAATAAACGCAATTAAGCACCAGACCCTAGTTCAACGTACACGTCACAGTCATGGTCGTCATCATCATTTTGGTGGCTTACCACCCGCTGCCACAGATATTGCTTGCTGAGAATTGGGTATTTTCTACGCGCTGGCTTGTCAAACGAGCATTACAACAGTTTCAGGTGGCCAGTCACACGATCGATTTCGACTGCCGCTGCAGGTCCGACAGCGAGCACAGTCTTGGAATTGGGTTCGATCTGAGTGCGTCCAGCATCACGGATGAGGCAAGTGTTCAGATGCCGTTGTTCGGCGGATCGCTTGATGCTCATCAGTTCGGCTTCGCTATCGACGCGCACTGCGATCTTTGCACATCCACAATTTTCCCAGGCACGCAATAGGCGTGGCGTACGAGTCACAGCCCTTTGATAGGCGCCCACAGCTCCGTGGGAGCACTGCGAGGCAATCTTTCCCTTGCCCATCTTCAAATCGTTGCGCACAACGAGCACCATTTTGTAGTTGTCATTGAAACCGCCATAGGTCTGAAAGAAGACAATATCTTATTTCGAATTTTTAGCTATCATTTGTAATTTATACTCGCGCACCTTGTCTGCTACTGCGACAGCTGCGCCTTCTGGAGTCTCCGATGGACTCTCGTCAATTTTAGCGCAAGCTTCCCCACGTTTTAGGGCATATTTGTACCCGACAAAAAATGATATCATCACAGCCAATCCATTTATAATTTGCGATGTGTCCAACAGTTTGTCACCCATTCTTGAGTGTTTTTCTTCTGTTCTACTTTGTATAAAATTCGGAAAATGCGAAGTATACTCGCACACCGGCACCGATACAAATATATTTCAAATTATCGTGAAATAAATCGACATTGCACTAGTTGCCAAATTCAGTTAACATAATGTTTCACTTACAGAATCGGCATATATGAAAATCTTATCGAATGATTTATGAATATGTTCATTCTTCTTTTTGATATTTTTTACATTTCAAATAATTTATAATATTTTTAAATTATTTAAGCATCATTTAATTTTATTGCATTCTTTCTATTAATCAATATCTACAGAATAAAAACTCAAATTTTTAATTGGATAGCATAGGCAAGAAAGCTTAACAGAAATATATGATATTAATACCAGCACTAACCATAGACACTGACCATGTTAGTTAGTTAGGTTGTTAGTGATACCAGCTATTTTTCAGTATTTTCACTTGTTTTTGGTATATTTTGCATGCACTATGATGATTTTAGTAGTTTTGTCATTCAGTTACACTGGAATCCCTACTGACGTGTCGGACCAATATCGCGTCGTCTGCGGCGCTACAAATCTTGTCAGTTTTTGTCTTCGTGGAACTGCAATTATACTGTTGCGAATTCGCAAAAGTATCCAGTTAGCATTTTTGATTATTGTCAATAGCAAAGTAAATACAAATTAGCAACCATGGGCCTGGCTAGCATATTGCAAGTGGACGAAATGCTGGGAGATTTCAATAGAATGAACAAACGCCAGGTGAGTGCTGCATTCGACGTCCGCCTCCTGGCCATGTGCATTAAAAAGAATCCTGGCACACTTTCAGTCGTTGTACCAAGTGCTCAGCTTTGCGATGATTGTATCCTCTGCACTGATGATTTGGAAAGGTCTAATGGTTGTCACAGGCAGCGAATCGCCAATTGTTGTCGTGCTGAGCGGCAGCATGGAGCCGGCTTTTCATCGGGGTGATCTACTCTTCCTCACCAACTACAAAGAGGAGCCGGTGCGCGTGGGTGAGATTGTAGTATTCAAAGTGGAGGGCCGGGACATACCCATAGTGCATCGCGTAATCAAATTGCACGAAAAGTGCGTACAATAGTAGTGGCCAAGCTATATTCTAAAGTGAATAATTGTGATTTGCATTCAAACAGGGAAGACGGCACAGTTAAGTTTCTGACCAAGGGCGACAACAACAATGTGGATGATCGGGGGCTATATGCGCCCGGTCAGCTCTGGCTAACCAAAAAGGATATTGTGGGACGCGCCAGAGGGTTTCTGCCCTATGTGGGCATCATCACGATTTTCATGAACGAATATCCCAAAGTTAAGGTGAGTGTGCAATTCTTTGATCACAATGTTGGTTGCTAATAAATTCTATATTTGCAGTGGGCCATACTCTCGATTCTGGCCATATTTGTGTTGCTGCATCGAGAATAGAAGCGCTTTAATATATAGATAAAATTTAAGTAGAAGTTGTTGCACAATCTCGAGAATATTTTGCATTTCAGTTTGTTCGAGTCAAGAAGAATGTGTTTCTTCTTTATAATAGACAACCAGCCAAGTGAAGAAAACCACATTCAAAGTTCGGAGCTGAATTTAAATAAAACAACCATTTTATAAATACATATGTATCCCACAAATGAAAAACCAAAGGATTTATAACCAACCGATTTATATATTCTCTTCGTAGCATAATAAGGAACTTTTTAGCGCTGCGCCCCATCCATATTTTATGGCACCACTCTTCGATACCACCCGATGACAAGGTATCAGGATGGATACCTCGTTCTTAGCTACAGCACTGGCCACCGCCCGAACAGCCTTTGGTCGATCTACCAGATCGGCAAGCTCGGCGTATGTGCATGTGGTGCCAGCTGCCATCTTTGATAGCTCTGCCCATACGGCCAGCTGCAGATCTGTGCCCTTAAGGGCGATGTCGACGACGGCTGCATTTTCTTTTTCCTCAAACAAAATATTTCTTATCTCCCCAATGGCCTTTGCATCTGCAACGAGCTTCACTTTGGGCCAACGTCGATGAAGTTGCTCCAAACTTTTTTTGTCATCCATTTGCACAAAATACAAAACGCAAATAGCGTCAATGATTTTGCCGCTCTTTTGAATCGGCGTCGTCCCAAGCAGTATCCTGCCGAATTTGGAATCGATGAAGCCATATTTGATCTGTTCTGGAAATTCTTGTAGTGGCGTTAGAGACGTCATCAAGTTATTTAATATCCACATTTCGAGATTTAATAATTTTTATGCCTTTGTTTATTTGCATATTTGTGTAAACGTCGTTTGATAACGCGAAAGCACCAACACAAGAACAAGAAGCCAAGAATAACTTCTGCTGTAAAATACTAAATATGTTCCACAATAAATGTATTTATATACCGTATAAATTTTATATCTGCAGCCCTGACAAAATTATTTGAATTAATCGATATACAATTATGATACTTCTCGATATATGTGTATGGCTCTAGTTCAAAAGGAAATATTCCATTATACATTTATATTTTTTCTTCCTTAATGGCCCTGATTGTTCGTGTAGGCGTTCTTCACTGTGCAAATGATAGATGCCTAAGTCGAGCACAGTTTTTAGAGCAGCGCGTTTATTGCAACTTTCATATGACATGTATGAACTTAACATTTTTATGTGTATCCGTTCGTATAGAAATGTTCATTTAATGTAATGGTATATGCACTTATGAACCAATATACATACATATGTACGTTGCTACATACATACATATGTATGTACATACATAGTTACAATCATATGTTATTTAACAGAGCTTGATGTATTGGAAATTTTGAATGTAGTCTTAAAATCCTATCCATCAAATTGCAAGCCGACTTTGATGAAGGCATTTGATTAATTTTTCACGTTGTTTTTTAATACTAGCAAATTAGTCAAATTTCAAGGTAGCTAGGCAAATCCCCAAGAAAATCAAAATTTGTATACACATGTGATTTTGAAGGAATCGCTGCGTTACA